TAGTCTTATAGTTGTTCAGCACTGAATTGGCTAAATTGAAGCACAGTATCATATGGTTCAAGCATTGCTGCCACATGCCCTGTTATGTGTGTTGGAAAAAGGGAGAGAGACAAGTGTTTTTATCTCACAGGCCATCATGGTTGTGGCATTTAGCTATTTTGTTTAAAGAGGTCCTTGCTTTTTAAATTAGTTTTGAGGAATGGAAAAATAAAAAGTTAGCTTCCAAGTGTAACTGTTAGGGTAACCAACCATCCCTGTGCTTTGGAATTATAACTAACTAATTGCCACAAAGCCTTGCCAGTGCAACAAAATAAAAAATGATGCCAAGAAAACTCAGCGCTATTTATGCCAAAGAAGGTCATCCCTAAAGAGATGATTACTGAGACAACAATCCAGTCATGGCTTGAAGCCAATAGAAAAGAAAGTATGCCAAGACCTGGCCCTTCAGCCTCGTACCTCAGTTAATTTTAGAATAAAATGGGGGTGGAGAAGAACTCTATATACTGTCTTGGGGAGGAAATGTAGGATGTAAGCAGGCAACAAACTTTATTTACATAATTGCAGGAATATTTCTCTTTCACCTTTTGGTTGTACTCACCCTATCAGCACCACCACCAAAGTTTGCTTGAAAATCTCAAAATTGAAACAAACCACCCACAAGCTGGCGAAATCAGGTAGCATGCTACCTGAGGATACTTGCAGGAAGGTCACCTTTCCCAGGCATTGTTTCTCAACCTGACTTACTACATCAGGTGGGAGTATGAGGCTAAAATAGGAAGAGTGGGTAGATAAGAATCACATTTGTCATCTTGAGCTCCTTCAAGAAAAAATGACTATACGATGCCATAAATAATGACATACATGATTAAACAATACACAACAACTCCCTCGTAGCAACAGCTCTGCTGGCTGCCCATCTGTTTCCAAGCATAATTCAAAGGCTACATCTGCAGTGTGTTTGACATCGCTTTAACTGCCATGGCTCCATGCTATGGAGTCCTGGGGTTTGTTGTCTGTTGTGGCACCAGAGCCCTCTGACAGAGAAGGTTAAAGATTTCACAAAACTACAAACCCCAGAATCCCATACCATTTGAGCCATGGTAGTTAAGATGGTGTCAAACTGCATGATTTCTGCAGTGTGGATGCAGCCCAAGTGCTGGTGATGGCCTATAAACCTCTATATGGCTCAGGCCCAAGTTATTTGAAGAACCATACTCTCCCACATAAACTTGGTCTTGTTCCAAGACCTCCTCAGGAGGCACTTCTCTCTGTCCTACAACCCTCATACATCTGATGGAAACATAGGAGAGGGCCTTCTCACTGTTTTCCATTTATAGTTTTGCAAACTCCCTCCTACAAGGCCTGCATGTACTCCAGAAGCAGAAAATATAATACAGTATATTCTTACAGATATATTCTTATGTTAGCTTACAGCATGCCATGAGTACATGGGGGAATTTGGTCCTTCTGGCAATGTTTCTAATGTGTAAAGTGCCTCTCCTCTTCTATTCATGAGGCTAATTCTGCAAAACAATGCTGTCCAATGCAGTGTGTACCACTTTCTGGGTTCTATGGATTTTCCCACCCATTGGGTCAGGAATTTTCAAAGTGAAGAATTTTAAAATCAATTTAGGGCCTTGAATTCAGTAACATGTACTCTTCGTGTAAGACAGCATCTTCTGGGGGTGCTATAATTCTAAGTGGGTTTCCTAAAGGAAAGACTCTCTTATATAGCAGGGCTCTCTCCTTCCCTTCTTTTTTCAAGACATGTTTAATTTTTTTTCTTCTCTTGATAAGCAATTTTGAGTCACAAAGCAGATGATATTCTATTCCAAACCTAGGAGAGACTGCAGCAGTTTGCTTTTGCCTGAGTCTTGTAAGGCAAGACTCCTCCTCTCCTCTCCTTCCTGCTGAGTTTAACTGAGCACAAACGACTCTAACTTCAGTTTACAGAAACTGAAGTTAGCTGAGGATAAAGGGGTCAAGTAGGAGTAAGAAATCTATTTCACAAGATCTGGGAAATCAAAAGAAAATTCAACCAAGGACTGGAACGATCTATGACGATAAAAATAACATAATTCAAGACCAGGAAGGAATAAAAAGACGTTGGATACAATACACAGAAGAATTGTACAAAAGAGATGACAAATGAAGGACACATGGAATGAAGAGCCATATGAAGATGAACCCCAAATCCTAAAAAGTGAGGTGGAAACTGCAATAAGAGAAATAGCAAAAAACAAATCACCAAGAATAGATGATATTCCAATTGAACTGCTGCAAACTGAGACTGTCGTACTTCGGACATATCATGAGAAGAGAGGACTCTGGAAAAAATTATAATGCTGGGGAAGGTGGAGGGAAATAGGAA